TTTTTATTTGTTTATATATAATTTCAGTGTGGATAAAGATGAAACCACTAGGACTCATAAATAAATCTCAGAGAGATACAAGTTCCAGAGATGCCTCCACACCCTGTGCCAGGTTGAATTCATCCAGGGCACTGTGGAGAGGAGCAGGAGAGCCCAGCACCTCAACAGAACCCCAACAACTGAAAATCTCCGAACCCAATTGCCGACATGCTCACAGTCAATCTCCACAGGTTGGTATAAGCCTCTCATGCATGAGAATGGATCCGCTGAAAAACTCAGGTATGTGGGTTTTGTGACCAAAATCTCCAGCCTCTCATGGAGTCAGGAATGGGCAACCTCCTCCCATCTCCCTGTGCTTCCATCAACCGGGCATTCATGCCTGTGAACTGCCTCTGGTGTCATATAAGCTCATTAACGGCCATGATCTGAAGACGGACAAATCTCAGAAGAGAGACACAAGCTGTAGAGATGCATCTGGACCCCAAAGTCACCATCCAGTTGAAAATTTAACTCCAGGTCTATCACCCTATTATAAATTTTAGTTCCTAAATTTCATGGCTGTATGACATCACATACTCTATTCCACTGATCTATCAAGAGTAGCACACCACATTTGATGGGGTGTAAAATAGAAGGCAACCTATCTCAGAAAAAATTATATAATCACACAAGACTCAATCTTACAATATGTTACAACAAGTTAGTAACCTCTTACACAAGGTCTTGATGGCTCCAAGATGAGATACAACAATTTTCATACACTTTACTCTAAGGAAACCTTTTTGGTCATTTTAGCCAACTATTAATACAAGCAATACAAAATAAATTATTTAGGATCTGCCTTTGGGGGCTGGCTTGGGTGGTAGTGTTAAAATTTAAAATAATGGTGGTGGAAAGGTATAATGGTGGTGGGTTGGCACTGGATTATTGCATGTAATAAATTATTGTGAACAACTTTATAAAAATAAAATTTAAAAAAACGATGAAACCAGTAATAGTGGCTGACTCTACTGTTTGGAATTTGGAAGACTGCAAAACAGGGTTGGTAGGCAGATTTTTCACTGTTTATTTTCTTCTAAAATTTTATGGATATTCTAAGTCAGTTCATTTAAAGCACTATCAGTAATTGTGTAAACTTGGCATTAGGCTAAGTGCCCCACATTAAATTAGTTAAGTAAATTAGGTATATCCCTGGAACAAAATAGTTTGCAGTCATTAAAAAATTTCTTATAGTTCTTATACTCTACATTTCTGTAGAGTATTAATCACAAGTCAAAGTATGTGTTAACAACCTTGAAAATGTGAACAATAAAGAACAACTCAGAAAGTTGGAAGAGGGAAGGAATAAAAGTGGCACCAATATCCTAAGAAAGAAAGTGAGTAATCCAGAGATCAAGAAAAAAAGACTGGAGACATTAATTCTATTATTCTGAGTTTTGGAGATAACTACCAGAAGACAAAAACTGAAAATTTCCTTTTAGGCATGGCACTGAAGGTAGGAAAGCAGAAGTAAAACCTTACATTTCATCCTAAAATCCTCTGCACTTTTTGATTCACTACCAGATATACACACTATTTTGATTAAAAGGCAAAAAAATTAAAGTAGGGTATATTATTGTATTGCAAGTGTGATTTTAATCACGGATATAAAGACAGGTAGAAAATAAAAGACTAGAAGGTTATATGTCAAAATGTTATTATGATTGCTTTTGAATAATAAAATTATGGGCAGTTTCTTATTTATTTATATGTCCCCCTACTTTCTGTAGTTTCCAATTTGCAAATAAGCTGGAAACAACAGAAAGAAAAATCAGAAAACAGGCCTAAACTAAAAATAATAAAACATTTGTTTAGTAAGAGAACATTCTCCAGGACTTCCCTGCCACACAAATTTCCAAACTCCAAGCAAATGCCAGTAAGGTTGAATTAGGAGAGCAGGCCTTTGATTTTACAGAGAATCACAAGTAGTAAGATGCCAGTATCTTCTCTATGAGACTTTTATAGCAGTGACTCTCATTTCAGTCATATTTCTCTGTGTACAAAGTAAGATTTTGCAGCTTCCTCTATCAAGAGATGGAAATATAGCTTTAGGGATGGCTCGGTACCTAAAATTTTTGCCTTGTAAGTAATAAAATCATTGAATTCAATCCTTGGTGCCTTCGACCTGTGATAAAATTGGTCCCGGTGGCTCTGCTGTTTGTGAACCCTGGCACCACAATAGTGTGTGTGATCCCTGATGTCCTGTAGCCAATCTATGTGTAAGCACTACAACTGAAAGATGTGTGAGTTTTTCAGTCAGGAGAAAGCAAACCCTGGTGAGCATAAGTGTGGGAACACCACATAAAAGCATAGGCAACCCTGATCCTTATAACATCAATAAAGCTAAGAAAAAGTGGAAAAACTCTTTTTAAAAAAAAAAGAGTTGGAGGTCCAGAGAGGTATTACAGCAGGCAGAGTGCTTTCCTTGTGCTCAGCTGACCTGGGTTTTATCCCTGGCACCCCATATGGTTTCCCAAGACCTACCAGGAGTGATCCCTGAACTCAGAGTCAGGAGTTAAGCCCTGATCACTGCCAGGTGTGGCCCCAAAATAAAATACAACAACTTAAAAATGGAGACAAACTATTTCTCCATCCTTTGAATTGTTAACTAAGTAACTTGCTTTAGTTAATGAGACAATAGCAAACATGATACAAACTGAGACTTGAAAATTACCTGCATACTGGGGTTTGCCCTTGCTCTCCTGTTGCTGGAAACCTTTGTGCTAACTTATGAAAAAGCTTGGACTGGCTTTCTGATAAACGGAATACTGTAAGTAGAGAGGCCCTAGACACCCCAAATTAGGTCTCAGAGACCTCAGGGAGATCACTTTCAGACCATACAGTCCCACCCCACCTCTATAGGCAAGAACAACAGTTGTGTTAACTTACAAAACTATGAGACATGATAACTACTGTTGCTCTTTCTAAAATACTAAGTTTTGAGGCTCGGGAAATAAGCTAGGCATCAGAGGTACATGCTTTGCATGTGAAAAGACCCAAGTCCAATTCAATCTGTAGCAATAAATGGCCAGAAATACTGAGCCTGAGCAATGCTGCATCACTGGGCCCCTGAGCACTGCATGAGACCCGCAAAAATAAATAAGCAAACTAAGCCACTAAGTTTTGGGTACTTTGAGAAACAACAAAAGCTCACAATACCCTTCAACATGAAATATATCCAGTCAATGACATAAGTAATTTTATTACCCTCCAAATTCCATTTTTAATGATCATTCATTTTTTTCATTCATTTTTTTATTGAATCACCTTGAGCAACAAAAGCTTCCATGTTTGAGTTCCAGTCATACAATTATCAAACACCCATCCCTTCACCAGTGTACTTTTTTCTTTTTCTTTTTCTTTAAGTTTTATTTATTGAATCACTGTGAGAACAGTCACAAAGCCTTTCAGTTTAAGTCTTGGTCAGTCATACAATGATCAAACACCCGTCCCTTCACCAGTGCACATTTTCCACCACCAAGAACCCCAGTATACCCCCCTCCAACCACCCCCTCACCCCCGCCTGTGTGGCAGATTTCCACTTTACTCTCACTCTCTACATTGACCATACTCAATATTACGACAAAAGACCCAACATTATTATTTGGAATTTTCCCCAACTTTCAGACCTGCCAAAAAGACATCATTAGATAATTTGTTTTCTATTGCTGATTATGAAGAGCATATGATGTCGTGTAGCCGCAATAGCAGCCACACAATTTTGGATTTCTGATATTTTAGTAATAAGCCTAGAGGGAATATTGCCAAAAGCCCCTGGGTTCTGAGCTTGGTTTGTGTACCTCTGGGATCATGGTCATTCAGGAGCCAGAGGAGGCGTTTTTGGGTGGCAACCCGGGGCCTTGTCAGAGTGGGGAGCAGGGCTGATTCCAACCCCCATCCCAAGAGGCTCCGCCTGCCTTGTCAATGCAGTCTCATACCTGGCTGTCTATTAGGCTCTAAAAGATGGAGGCCACCATGCTGCTGCCACAAGGGGGGACAGGCAGAGGGACAAACACCCTTCCCCTCCCAGGGTGGCATAGCACCTTGGTTAAATGGACAGTCCAGATGCATTTCGGTTGGGCATTATATTTTGCTCAGATTTTCCCCAGTGTACTTTTTCTACCACCAATGCCCCCGGTATCCCTTACCTACCCTCTGTGTCCCACCCCTCCCCCTGCCTCTATGGTAGACAATTTCCCTCTTAATCTCTCTCTACTTATGGGCATTATGGTTTGCAATACAGATCAGAGGCCATCATGTTTGGTCCTTTCTCCCTTTCTCAGATATGTACAATGATGATAATCCACAGAGTCTGGTACTCAATAGTTAACAGATTTTCCTTCCTTGGTCAACAATCTCTCATAAGTATTGGGATGATGGTGCAAAAATTTCTTACAGCCTTAGATTCCTTGGTAAAAATTGTTTAATGTCTTACTCTTTTCAGCTCAAGTCATATAATAACAGAAGCAACATGCTCCATTACCTATATGTTTGCAGACCAAAAAACTCTACATTACCAATTACACTAGCACCTTTAACACAGTTTCTGGCATACTGCAGGTTTCCAACAAACGTTTGAGTAAATTGGACTGGAAAGACAGTACAGTGGTTGAGGTACATGCTTTGCATGCTGCTGATCCAAGTTTGATCCTGGTACCCCATATAATTCTGTTAGCACCACTGGATGTGGCCCAACTCCCCGAAAGGTGGGGTCAGAGAGATAGTGCAGCACGTAGGGTGATTGCTTTGCATATTGGCCAATGCAAACTTGTATCCCAGTACCTTATATGGTCCCCAAAACTGCCATGAGTGATCCCTGAACAGAGTCAGGGGTGCCTCCAATAAAGACCCCAAATGTTTGAGTAAACAACAAATGAATGGTTCAATCATATACTCCTATATTAACTTTTTTGGGAAAGACTACTTTTCTCTACTACCTGCAAATTTCAAGTACAGAATACCTTTAGGACTCCATGGAGCATCATCTGAATTCTTCTTTTTCTTGGGTCTAGATTTCAAAGCAGGATCATCATCATCAGACTCCAATGAAGGGTAGACTGTAGAGAGAGGGAAAAGCAGGGTAAATTGAGATCTCATCCTGAAGTGCGAACACAAAATGATACTACATCAAAGCAACTCCCACTCATCTAAAAGTGGATCCTTTACTTAATCCATATTTAAATGCAGGAATCCTTGAATTGTCATATATTTTTCATTTTTCTTCCTATATACATTACTGGAAATAGCTATGAGTATTTCCTAGATTAATTTTGTATAAGAAGCCTTCTCTTATACACTGGAGTTACGTGTAATATAGTATTTAAGACCTAATTGGAAAATCTTTTATCACCAATTTACTGTGAGGACAAAGCTATGAATTACTTAATTTCAAGCTAAGGAGACTAATCATACTGTTGAGACTTTGTGTTTGCAGAATTTACAGAAAAAGACTTACTTCATACAAAATTATTCAAAAGAAACAAAAAGATATTTTGGACTGAACTGGGAACAAGAATATTATAAATGAATGATGTAAATGATAAAGCACATGAAACTATAAAATTAAGTAGATATATGTATATCTAAGTATACCATTATGTACAATATAAACAACTATTTTTTAAAATTTTTATTAGTGAAACACCATGAGGTACAGTTGTAGACTTACAAATTTTTGTGCTTGGGTTTGATCCCTGGTACATCCCACATGCTGAGTGCAATACCAATGACACTGCTGTTTCGTGATCTCAAGCACCACAAACATGTGTGGCATCTGGTATACCACAAACATAAGACCAGGTGAAGGCCACTAAATATGCAAGTACCACAACTGAAGTGTGTGACCTAGCAAGTACAACTAAAAAGAGTGTAAGCACTGCAATGAAGTGTGCAACATCTGATGAGCAACACAATCAAGTGCATGTGACCTCTAGTAATATAAACAACAAAAGGCAAGGAAAAGAGGGAAAATCACCAAAATGTTCCCTTTCCTAATACTCCCAAAGGCTGCCAGTGGTATTTTGTTGCACATAAAAGGTTTTTCCATTACAAGAAAAGAAATGTGGTGTAATTCTGGATCCATTAGTCTGTTAGTTTAGAAAAACTTCTTAAAGAGAACCATGTCTCAACAAAAATAAGAATATTGATAAGGGGATAAAAACATGAAACTGATTTGGAGGCAGTAGAAACAATAGTATATATCAAAAGCTTAAACATTGACAATATTGTAACCCTATCACCTGAACTACAAAGGAACCAATAAAGAATTTTTAAACTGAAAAATACAATGGCTTGAATGAAAAATTCACTAGAGGAGGCTCAACAACAAAGTCTGAGTAAATAAAAGAAACAAAGGTGAATATTTTAAAAGCATAACAACATGTACAGACATGCAGAGTAACTTGCTGAGTGAAATGAGTCAGAGGGAGAGAGACAGACATAGAATGATGGCACTCATTTGCAAGATAGAAAAAACAAAGTATGAGAATAATACTCAAGGACAATAGAGATAAGGGTCAAGAGGACTGGTCCATGGTAAGAAGCTTGCCTCAAAGGGGAAGGTGGAGTGCAGTTAGTACAGAGAAGGGACCACTATGATAATGATAGTTGGAAATGATCCACGATCACTCTAGACAAGAACGGAATGCTGAAAAGAGGTAAAGTTATATGCATGATACCCTTTCAGTAATAGTATTGCAAACTACAGTGTCTGAGAGAAAGAGAAAGAGGCAGGGGGAGGAAGAAAAGTAAAGTGTCATAGAGGCACGGTGCAGGGACTGGAGAGAAACTGGGACATTGGTGTGGGAAATGTGCACTGGTGAAGGGATTGGTGTTGAAATGCTGTATAACTGAAACTTAATCATGAACAACTTTGTAACTGTATCTCACAGTGATTCAATTAATTTTTCATTTTTTAAAAATCATAATAAATAAGCATAATAAATAAAAACAGAAGAATAAAAAGAATAAAGAAAAAGGGAGAGATAGCTCAATGGGTTGAGTGCATGTTTTGTATGTGGAAAGTCCAGGTTTGAACCCTGGCACCACAGGGTCCCCCAAGCACCACTAGGAATAACCTCTGAGCCAAGTGCAGCCTCTGAACACCATAATATGTGGCACAAACCCCAGCCAGCCCCCCCCAAAGAAAAATGAAAAACAGATAAAGAGACCTGTGGAACACTATTAAGCTAACTGATATATTAATATGTGATTTCCAGAAGGAAAGAAGAGAAAGAGGCATAAAGACTACATGAAGATATGAAAGGGCAAAAAAAATCACATTTTAAAAGATACATCACAATATATATATCTTAGAAAATTCTGAGTAGGATTAATTCAGATATCCATACTAAGTCACATTACATTGAAAAGGTCAATTATCTCTGCAGTAAACACATTTGTTTCAGTATTATGTTTACTGAAATGGTCATTGCTATACCTTGGAGTAAACTGAAAAATGGTACTAAAAAAAGAAAAGGTCAATTAGGCAAATTCAAGGGAAAATGCCTTGAAAACAGTAATGAATAATTACCCTGTCATCTAAAAAGAAATTATAATAAAGATTAATAATTAATTTACCATCAAAAAGAATAGAGGCCAGAAAGCAAAAGAATGATATATTTAATGTGCTAAAAGAAAAAAATCCTGTCAACCAAGAATACTATTTCTGATAAAACTATTCTTGAACAATGAGGGCAAATTAAAACAAAAATGAAAGCAAATTAAAACATTCTCAAAAAATAAAAGCAGGCAAAGGAGTTTGTCATTAAAACTAAACTTAGAAATGCTAAAGAAGTTACATGGTGTTGATCAAACCAATTATAAAAAGTTAGGACATTAACTGCAATCCTCAGAGCAGCCACTATGAAAATAAAAATATACAAAAAAATAGAATGAGAGTTAATCAAGTTGGTAAAATTGATTAATGTGTATACTGATTTCATGTAAAAGTTATACACTCCACAAAATCAAACTAACACAAAAGAAAGCAGTACTGGAAGAACCTAAAAACAGTTATCACTTTGCCAAACTGAATTTTTGAGGTAATGGTTTAAACAACTGTGTATGTTTAGGTGTGTGATTTCACACCTTTTTAAACTCTTACTCTACTTGCCACACCAAAGTACCAATATCCTTTCATCAGAGTTCATTAACCCCTTTACCTAACTAATTCCTGTCTTTGCCACTCTATAACATTAGTTGTGAATTCTGAGTCCAAGGGCTTTTCATTTGATTTATGCCCTTACTTTGCTTCTCTATATTCCACATATGAATATCATCGAGCATGTCTTTTTACTTATGACTAATTTCACTTAGCATAACCCTCTGCAGTTCCACCCATGTTGTTGAAAAAAAAAACAAGAGTACATCTCTACTTAATAGCTGAGTAGTTTTCTATTGTGTATGTATATATAGCACATCCTTGTCATCTAACCGTCCGTTGTTGAGCACTTGGGTTTCCATATTTTGGCAATTATAAATAGGGTTTCAATGCGCATAAGTGTGTATAAAAATTTTTGGATTAGTATTTTTGTGATACTTAGGAGTGGAGTTTCTCCATTATATGGTAGATCTCTTTGCACTATTTTGAGAAATCTCAATACTATTTTCCATAGAGAATGAATCAATTTACATTTCTATCAATAGTAGATGAGAGTTCCCTTTGTTCCATTACACTATATGACATATTTCTAACACTTTTTTGGTGGTAGGCCTCCCAAGTAGTGCTAAGGGGGTGTGAGAAACACTATGGTGGTACTCAGTCTTGATATGTAAGCCAAATGTTTTAAGGTTTAATGTTTTAAGCTCAAACTGCAGTGCTGCTTGAGCTCAGTGGTACTAGGGGTCACCAGGGCTATATCCAGCATTACTTTAGGACCACGAGGCACTTCTACACTCAGCTATACACTACTACACTAGCACTGCTCAATGACCATGCAGTAGTATCAGAGATCAAACTTGGGACCTTGTACATGCTAGTCTGGCACACCAGTGTATTGAGCTACTTATTATTTTTGTTTTGTTTGGGGGCCAGACACATTGTTTTTCAGAACTTCCTCCTAGTTCTGCACTCAGGGATCACTTCAGGTTGGGATCAGGGGAACATACGGAATGCTGCGGATAAAACCTAGTTGAGCCACATGTAAGGAAAGAACCCTACGTACTGTACTATCACTCTGACCTCTTTCTGATCAAGTCCACTCCTACAGTTCTGAGCTTATTGTTATATTGATTTGCATTTCCCAGATGATAAGCATATTTTATGTGCCAATAAGCCATCGTTTGTATGCCTTCTTTGGCGGGAAGATTCTATTCAGCTGTCTTCCCATTTTTAAAAGAAGTGCTTTCTTTTTGGTTGAGTTTTGTGACATATATATTGGATATACCATTCAGTAGAATCTGTTTCATTTTTTTCGGTGGTGTCTCTTTTTTGGGGGGGTGAGGCATATGCAGTGGTGCTCAACAGTTACTCCCAGAGCACTTAAGAAATATGTGATGCTGGAGTCAAACATGGGACTCTAGTATACAAAGCATATACTCTAGACCTTTGATCCATTTCTCTAGCCCCTCATTTTAAGGAGTTTCACTGTGCAGGGATGTTTTATTTTGATGTAATCCCATTTCATTTTTGTTTGCTGTTGTAGTTGAATCTCTGGATAAATCATGGAAGCAAATATAATGTAGTGTTTTGTCAATGTTCTCTTCAATGTGTTTTATGGTTTGAGGTCTCAAGTCTTTGATCCATTTTGAGTTAATTTTTGTACATGGTGTGAGCATATAGCTATTCAACTGCCCCAGTACCACTTAATGAAGAGACTTTTCTTTCTCCATTTCATGGCATTTTCTCCATTACCATAATGAACTGTACATATGTGTGAGGATTTACTTCTAAGATCTCACATCTATTCCACTGATCTGTGAGTATACTTTAATTCCAATACCTTACTTTCAGTAATGACTTAAAAAGTTGATTGAATTCACCATTAAAAGTCAAAGATTGATAGATAATGGACTAAGAGAAATAGTACATGGATTAAAGCACTTGCCTTGATGCAGC